GGTGCTTACATAAGATACTCGGTGAAAGCAGAACGCACACCAGATTCTAGTTGTGGCAGTATGGTCGGTGAAAAAAAAAAACATTATTCATTTTTGAAATATCAAAATGGAGCAATTCCCGCAAGATTTAGCCAATACAAAGCAATCTTCTGAGTGATCATTCATAAAATTATTAAACATTACACTCTAATGACTTATGAAATAGTGCTTTATGTTTTCGTGATTGTAAAACCCAAAGCGTCTGAGTGACTATAAATGCCAGACTCGCAACTATTTCGAAGAACATTTGAAAAAACATGAATCGGTGATTCTGCTCCGGTCCGGCGTGAGCTGATTGGCAAATAAGTACGAAACAGGCCCCGGATAGGCCTGGGGAGGGTCAGGAGTTCAACTTCTATCGGATTGGTGAATACACATTAGTGTTCAGCGCTAACAAAATAGAAATTTGTGTTCAGTACTTCCCTAGTGTCCATCTAACTGTGGATGAAACGAGGGTTGTGCTAGGGGGTGAAATCTGAAGGAGTCAAATGGTGTCAATATCAACTTCGGATAACGTGTCTGGTTGCGGGAGAATACAATATACTGGGGTCGGAGTCGAGTGTATTGTTGAGGCAAATAACAATTCGTAGTATATTATGCCATCGTGTTCATGTGGGGGAGGAGGAGGAGGAGGAGGAGCGAAATTAGGCTCCTTCGGAACCGGCTACAACCAGATGCACAGTGTGTGGAAGATGTTGCAAGCCGATACAAGTGTCAGTGTTGTCGTACTTGTCAACCAGTGATCCACTGTGGCCGGAGATGGTTGAAGGTCTTTGCTTGAGCAGTTAAAACTATTCCGGGAGCGGAGAGGGGAGAAGAATGAGCATCGGATGACAAGTGAGCAATTAATCCGGATGATATGTGGCACTAATGTGACATGTGAACTGATTTACAGCTAACGTGAAACGTAACAGATCACCTTTTCAGCCGATTGTTCGTCTACACCGAGGGAGCGAAATGGACCAAATTGCCACACAAAAACGTGCATGCAACTGAACATGCAAATCCAACTGTGCCCAATGTGCACTCACCCAATTCAGGTCGATTGTTTCCACAGTGAGCGCCTGTGAGGTGATCGTCAGATACACGTTTGTCATTGCCCAATTCTTGTCCGATTCCGCACCCAAATAAACTTCCAGTGCTTTGTTCGGTCGGACATTTCGAGGCGGTTTCCGACCCACATCTTCACAGACTTGATGTATGGATGCACTGTTAAGGGAAAGGCGGTGATGGTGTGGGAGTGAATGGGTGCATGATCACGGCACAAGTTAAGCACAACTAATTTGTGAGGAGAGATATCGGGGAGGGGGAGGATCTCATCGCACATTTGACCATGAAAACCACATCCCCCCCCCTCGCAATGCCAATGTGATGTGTGACGAAGAACGAAGGAGAATCTTTGATCTGAAAAAAAACTAATCATCTAACTGTCTCCGAATAAGTTACATACTTTTAGGCGAGTAACATCCATGTGAGAATAATTCAACACCCCAGGACAAAGTGACACCATGCGTACTAAGACCTTTATCTTCCCAAGATGAACTTTCAGCTTTTGCAGGGGTAAATGGTAGCGATCAAATAATGGTGATGGCTTTATTTAATGGCAGACTACACTTGCATACACGAAGGTGTTTTCTAGGGATATTCGTGGTTTTTTGTCGGGCAAAACTGCGTGTAGCGAAAAAAGTTGTCATGTCTTCGAGCGTTGTCGATGAGTGTCAGCGAAAGCATATTCAATGGAACCGCCACCGCCGTTGCCCTGGGGTGGCGATCTTGAGACAGAGTGGACAAATCTTTCTTCGAGCATTTTAGTGCATGCTTGTTATCAGCATCAGAATGTCACGCTAAATACACATGAACTAGTTTAGAGTATGAAATTTGGATTAACCCATTCGATTGTTCAGATGCACCAGGCACTCTTGATGGTCTTGGATGTGAGCTTCACTCCTTGGGAGATCGTTAATTACCCACGAGGTAAATGCATTCAAATGCTATGTAAATGTTTTTGATCACCAACAAAGAGCACGGGACAGTTGTTTCGTCCTGTTTGGGACTCGTCAGTGGTGCTGTAGAACACAGCAGATGAATACGAAACCTTCAGAAAAATAAATGTTATACTATTCAAGCTGGATTAGGGGACGGGAATGGTGCTACTAATTCGAATGGACTACATAGACAAGATGAATAGCGTATTGAGCGACCAAGTCGGCGGAAAAGATAGAGGGGACGCTCTTTAAGGTTTTGCGATGCTTAAAACAGAGGGAAGTAATTGATGCATCCACTTTCGAACGTATGAGGCCATCCGGGACCGCTATTCCGAGGTTGTTTGAATTGCCAAAAGTACACACCAGATAGAGTATCATTACGACCGATTTCGGATATGTGCAAAACGCCAAACTATGCTGCTTAAAGGATTCAGTGCGTGCATCAGAGCGGAAAGATGATCACTCAGTAGCACACTGTCAACGAAGTTCAGATAGGTTACACGACAGTCTCGTTTTACTTGGACAATGCGGTTTTCGGGGAGGGCTCGTTGTAGGACCCAACTGACTGTAAAATTAAAAGGAACCGGAAGACTTGACGGGCAATACTGGTCAATGGGAAATTGTTGGACTGCTCATTGGTTGCTCTGATGCCAGCTTTGGTGCTGCAGTAGAACGGATTAAGATGTCCCGGAATTCGTTGGATTTGGCCGACGAATCTTCTGCCAGGACGGAATCCGGCCCGGTTCGGTCTTACAAGTGGGTAGCATTTGGTGGCAACGCGATCCACGAGGATCGACCGAAAAATCTTGGCAGCGATATCGATTAGAATTATTCGTCGATAGTTATTGCCAAGCGATCTGTCTCCTTCTTGTGAAACCGACCGACCTTAAACAGATAGAAGCGTTTCCATATCCCAACTTACGAGGAATGATCAGTAAAGCGAACTGATCACCTTTGAAGTACATGACTTGAATAGTTCTGGAGATAAATCAGGGCTTTTTCATGGAATCTATACATTATATTGGACCCTTATACCAGAGTCAATGGATTGTAAGGGTGTAAGTACGAAAATAACAGGCGACGCGTGGGTAACTTTGGCAGCTGATTAGCACTGCGATTGAGGACGCAAAATCAAAATTCGGAGCTGTAAGCGGGTCCGTGAAACATCGGCACTTGTACCTTCCTCGTTTTGGCAGCGGTCGCCGGCTTAATTTGACATTGAAGCGTATTGGGCACCTTCGGCGAAGGGCTTATGATTCGGTGAACTAGACACTGGCCCCCAATGGTTTGCGGTTTTACACACCACCCAGCTACCTTTCACGTTAGGCTTTGGTTAGCTGAAGGTTCCGGTTGTGAATTCCCGAAGAAAATTCATCTACGTGGCCCGGGTAACCAGGCATTATCGCGCCCACAATCATGGGGTATTCGCTTTTTATAAATATTATTGTACTATCATTTGTTTGGCACATCGTCTGGATCCAGACGTGCGTAAAACACAAATACGAGATTGATTGACTGTCAGAAATGTTCGATCCATTGTTCTATCTTGGCAGAGTTATCCCAAACAAGTCCTCCTGCTTTTGTGCATGAGATAGAACGATGAAACAAGTATCACCCTGGTGAAATACATTTGAGTCAATATAGCATCCTGAAATTGTCAACGTTTGAAGCTGTTTCCATGATAGCCACTAACTTTGCCCAGTATCAGTCATTAACATGTCTAGATGACTGAGTCAGTTTGCGTCTGAGGAAGCGGCAAGTTGAGGCTTAGCTCGAGATGATATTAACATGATAGCTTCTGAAATCTAGTCCTTCTTTCTTTTTGATACGGTACGCAAGTGTGTAATTGAAGTTCAATTTCACTCTCGCCTGGTAGGAAAGGCAGTNCTCCCGTATAAGTTTTCACTCCACCGGATCCGACGTGAACTACCCGTCAGTTTGCCACCTTTCAACAGGAAACTATTCAGATGCCGTTTGAAGGTATCTTCATTCACCTCGTCCAGCACATTCGCCGACAGCATTCTAAATATTGGTCACTCCCCCGGAGAGACGATACACCGACGGGAGTCCGTATGATTCCTGTTTCTGCAGCAATAAACCGTGACCGCGTGTACATGCGTGTTTCTCAACGGAAATTTTGGCTGCAGCTCTGCCCCCAGATCACCTCGAATCAGTCTCATTTCTTTGAAATGGTAACATTAATTCTCAACGAGAGACACAGATCCTGGGTTGTCTGCGGTACGTAGGTCAGCTTGAATCTGTCTGGGCAACGCTTGTAGTTTTGCAAAACACGGAAGTAGAGAAATATTGGCACGTCCTGAGGGTCGCACGTTTGTGGTTTTTAAACGAAGCATGAAGTGAACTCACAACGGTGGCCATCACGACGAGACTGTACCTTGACGTGGTGTGATGGCTT